TCCTTCCTTCCTTCCTTCCTTCCTTCCTTCCTTCCTTCCTTCCTTCCTTCCTTCCTTCCTTCCTTCCTTCCTTCCTCCCTCCCTCCCTCCCTCCCTCCCTCCCTCCCTCCCCATGCAGACAAAGGTACCCAAGTGAACCCTATTAATTTGTGTTTAAATAGAGATTTCAGCTTATCTCGGGTAAACACAGGTAAGTTCTTGACATACAAAAGTTCAATTGTTGACCATACAACGTTACAACGGCACTGAAAAAGGTGACCTAGGACCGTTCTTCACACTTACGACCGTTGCAGCATCTGCAGGGTCACATGATCCAAATTCAGAGGCTTGGCAACTGACTCGTATTTAGGACGGTTGCAGCGTCCCAGTGTCACGTGATTCCCCCTTTTGCAGAGATTCATCTAACAACGGTGGAAAGGAAGGCCGTAAAATGGCCTTTAACCTCTGTCTTGCTTAGCAACATAAATTTGGGGCTCAGCTGGGCTCACAAGTACTGTATATTCAGTGTTCTAATATCTAAGGGGTGTTCCAATATCTCAGGGGCTGCCCCAAAGAAGAGGGAGTCAAGCTCTTCTCCAAAGCGCCTGAAGGCAGGAGAAGAAGCAATGGATGGAAACTCATCCAGGAGAGAAGCAACCTGGAACTAAGGAGAAACTTCCTGACAGTGAGGACAATTAACCAGTGGAACCACCTGCCTCCAGAAGCGGTGAATGCTCCAACACTGGAAGTTTTGAAGAAGAGACTGGACAGCCACTTGTCTGAAATGGTCAAGGGTCTCCTGCTTGAGCAGGTGGTTGGACTAGAAGACCTCCAAGATCCCTTCCAGCTCAATTATTATATGTTCCATGTTCTAGTGAAAAGAAGGAGTAGTGGACTTCCAATATTTGAGGGGCTGCCCCACAAAGAAGGGGGGGTGTCAATCTGTTCCTGAAAAGCACCTGAAAACAGAAGCAATGGATGGAAACTTTTATCAAGGAGAGAAGCAACCTAGAAGTAAGGACAAATTTCCTAACAGTGAGAGCAATTAACCAGTGGAACTGCTTGCCACCAGAAGTTGTGGCTGCTCCATCACTGGAGGTTTTGAAGAAGAGACTGGACAGCCATTTGTCTGAAACGGTCTAGGGTCTCCTGCCTGAGCAGGGGGTTGGGCTAGATGACCCCTGAGGCCCCTTCCAACTATGTTACTCTGTCCTGTTATTCTAGCAGGGCATCCTCAAACTTTTCTGTCAGACAAGTAATGAAATGGAAGCAAAAGGATGGGGGAATTATTACCGGGGCGAATAAGCAAGCCCACTCTATTTAATTTTCCAAGAAAGCAGACTGAAGGAAATCAAATTTATTTGGGCTCCATCCCCTCCCCCCCCCCCCCTCCGAAGCACTCTGCTCCCTCGTGTGCAGCTGAACACAGAGAAATTGTGCCCGGCAGAGGCAGAACGAAACGCTCCTTGCAAAATATGATTGAGCTGTAATTCTAGGGAGATTGGAGACTCCATGCACCAAATTGCCAGCAGAACAGGCTGCATCTGCCGGGGCTGAAAATCTCAACTCCTGATTTACGGAGATTTATTTCTGGGCATCTGGTCTGGTTTTTTGTGCAGGGAAAAGAAAGGGCAAACAGAACAGAACAGAACAGAACAGAATAGAATAGAATAGAATGGAATATAACAGAAATAATTAGAATAGAATAGAATAGAATAGAATAGAATAGAATAGAATAGAATAGAATAGAAATAATTAGAATAGAATAGAATAGAATAGAAATAAGGAATAGAATAGAATAGAAATAATTAGAATAGAATAGAATAGAATAGAATAGAATAGAATAGAATAGAAAATATGGAATGGAATAGAATAGAATAGCAGAGTTGGAAGGGACCTTGGAGGTCTTCTAGTCCAACCCCCTGCTCAAGCAGGAAAACCTATACCATCTCAGACAAGTGACTCTCCAATGTCTT